GTGATTCCTGAACTGTTTGAGAGCCCTCTGGTTCTGTTACCGTGTTCCAGATTTTGATGTCATCTGCAAACAGTATTGTTTTTGAGCCTAACACTTTGAGTAAATCATTTATGAAGGCGAGGAACAGCCGGGAACCGAGTACGGACCTTTGTGGAACACCGCGGGTGGCTTTCATAGGTCCGAATACAGAACCAGAAACACAAACTGATATGGTTCGTTGTTCGAGGAATGCTGTCTTCCACTCAAATGCGAAATCTCCACCGCCATAATTATAGAACTTCTGCAGCAAAATTTTGTGATTCACTCGATCAAATGCTTTCGCAAAGTCGAGATAAATAACATCCACCGCATCTGCTTCGTCAACTGTACTGGTCCATTCATCTCGAACAAGAAGCAGGTTCTTGGTGCAGGATCACTTTTGCCCAAACCCGTGTTAAGCTGTCGAGAGAATGTTGTATCTTTCGAGATGTTCCATCAGAGAATCGGCCACAATTGACTTAATGACCTTCGATAACACCGGAAGCAGGGTGTCAGATCTGTAGTCAGTGGGGTCACTACGACAACCACCTTTGTATATGGAAGAAATGACTCCTTGTTTTTACGAGTCGGGGAGTGTTGCTTGGTCGAACATTCGTCGAAACAGAATAGATAGCGGTTCGGATATGTGATTTGCCAAAAAGATCAGAGATTTCCGGTGTATGTTGTCCGCACCTGGAGTTGCATTTTTTCGCAAAGCGATTAGTTTTGCTTTGACGTTTTCAGTAGTAAATGATACGTAGGTGAGTGAAGGATGTGGAAGATGATGCGACCGGTGGTGGGGTAGTTGTAAACCTTTAACCTGCGGTGCTGCGAACACGTTGGAATAATGAATTTTCAGCATTTTCGCTGCTTCCGTTGGAGTGGCTGCAACTCTTCCAGCGCTACTTAGTACCGGTATATCAAACTTTGCTTTCCGAATGAAGTTGACGTGTTGGTACAACAGCTTAGGGTTAGAAATGAATTTTCGTGCCAGGGCCTCTTGGTATTTCACTTTATCTTCACGAATCAGCCTGGTGCAGTGGTTCCTCAGCATACGGTAATTATTCCATGTGACAGCATTCGGAAGATGATTATAATCTCGCCAGGATAAGTCCCTCTCCGATAGCCATTTCCTTGTGCGGCTTCGAATAGGTGAGTTTCGGATGCCGGATTTGGTGATTGCTCTAGTTTTAGTCACGGATGTTATTATATTTGTGAGATTTTCAATAAATTTCTTCTATGCGACCAACGGATTACCTTCTTCGTCATAAGAAACCCACTGAGCAGAGAGTGTCAAGTTATTCAACAGTGTGTAGTCTATAGATCTGCGCGTGTAACCAGAGGAACTTCCTTGAATCGAAGCGTAACAGACGTATGTGAATGTAAGTACTGCATGATCGCTACGTCGTAGGGGAGAAGTCACATTGAAAGACTCTACCATCAGCTCCTCATTGGTCAACACTAAATCCAGTATGGACGGTAACTGTAGGTTGCCAAACCTAGTGGCCACCTTCACATGGCTGTATAGTGAATTCGAGTCAATCAGCCGTTTGAAATGATGTTCGAAAAATGGAAGGACGGTCGCTGGTTTATTGAGATTGGGGCAGTTGGAATCACCCATAAGGAGAACATGGGTAAATTTTTGTGTAACGATGTGTGACATAGTAAAAGCGTCTCATTGGCCATCTCCAGGGATGATGGGGGACAATAGACTACACCAATCAAACAATCGTCATGTTTGGACAACTTCAACCTGCCCCACAGAGTGTCGCAATCAAGACTGTTTCGGAAGTAGAGTAAAAGACCACCACCACGGGTAGGACGATCGCTTCTGATTAGAGACATCTCTGATAAAGAGAATTCGGAGTTCGAAATATCAGCTCTGAGCCAAGTCTCTGTAATAGCCATAATATCCCATTGACTTGATATAAAACGTAAATTCAACCCTAGAAATTTGCCGAGGAGTCCTTGAGCATCAGAGTATAAACAGTTTAGATACTGTCGGTGTAGAAATCCGCTTGGGTAGGAAGTGGTATCTCAGCCGGCCCCTTCTCGGTCAGCTACCTTTAGTTTTTTGATAGATGAGCTCTAGTGCTTTGGACCACAGGT